CGGGATTCGTAGAGTCAGTGCCGCGGACAGCTTGAGCAGGTCTTCTCACTGTGCCCGTTGCACTTCTTGATCTCTGGCATTGCAATCTCCTTCGTGCTGCGCTCTCAGCATCGGCTCTCATGTGCGATCATCTCGGTTTTGAGGACCCTTGACTTGCCCAAGTCCTCTTGAACCAACATCCGAAGCCCCAGCCCCCCCCCCCCCCCCAACAAAAAAAAAAAAAAAACTGAACTAACGCTGAACTCAAAGGTCGGGTTTAGAGAATTACCTGGCTTGCTCCTCAGGCTCACGGTGCTGAGCTTCCTCGTGCCTGCCGTGCAGGGGCAACTTGCCGCGCCCCCACGGGTCAGTTCTTGGGTTCAGGTTGGGATGTTCCCCTGTATACTAATAGGGATTATGATGGGCGGAGGGTACTAGAATCCCTATTAAGGACTGTTTTCAGGGGGAACATCCCAAGGTTTAGGGCTTTCGGGTTTAGGGTTTAGGGTAACCCTCAACCCTAAACCCTAAGCCCTAAGCCCTACACCCTAAGCCCCAAGCCCTAAAAGCCCTAAGCCCTAAGCCCTAAGCCCTTGCACGAAATTTGGGCTCCGGCGAGGTCGATGTGGCGGTCGACGCAGCCAGGAAGTACTCCCAAGAAGGCGGGATGCCCAGCAGACGAGGGAGGGCCTCAGCTAGGGTTTAGGGTTTAGGGTTTAGGGTTCAGGGTTTCCACTTGAAGGTTCATGGCACTTACTAGCCCAATAATAGCTGTACTTGTAACCCAATTGTCACCCTACTAGGGCACTTAAGGGGCTTATAAGTGCGGATATAAGTACAGGAAAAATTGGTTAAGAAGTGCAATGAACCTCCAAGCATCCATGGCCAGAGCCCTAAACATGAAACCCCAGCCACGGAGCGGCTTACCCTAAACCCTAAACCCTAAACCCTAAACCCCAAACCCTACTCCTAAACCGCCGGAGGAAGTAGAGTTGGTGAATTCCCTGTAGGCCCCAAGGCCGAAACCCGAACCCGGCACCCCAAAGCCCTTGCTTTGGGACCCCTGGCCCAAAGGGTCCATTTGTAGCACTATGATGGAAACTATAGGTACCCAAGAAACCCTAAACCCTATACCCTAAACCCTAAACCCTAAACCACCTAAGCCCCAAGCCCTACAACAGTCAGGTCCGGGTGCAGTGGACATCGGGGAAGTCCTGTTCGAGCCCATCCTGCTTCTTTCCGCACCACCCTGAGGTCGCATTGAACCCCCACAAAAAAGAAAGCAAACTTCAATCCTGAACCCTGAACTGTCCCCATTCTCAACCTTGAACTTACATTCCATGCCCCTAAGCTGCCCTAAACCTTGAACCTCAAGTTCAAAACCCGATGAGAAACGCTGACCGCAGACCTCCCATTCCGGCTGCGTGCCCGCTCCGATTCCTCCACAAGCTTGGGACCCTGAGATCCTCATGTTCGGCAGCTACTTCTGCGAGATCTTGGTTGGCATCCTGTCCGGGGCCTACACCGGGAAGAGCAAGGGGCTACCCTGAAACCCCACCCGCCCGAGACCCCTACAAAGCCCAGACCCTGAAAACCCCAAAACCCTAAATCCTACAAACCCTAAACGCCTAAACCTCCAAAGCCCACAACCCCGAAACCCTAAAACCCTAAATCCCTGCAAGCCGTAAAACCATAAAACCCTACAAACCCCAAAACCCATATACCCTCAAGCCCCAACAACCCTAAATCCCGTCAAACCACATCCGTAAACTTTACCCCTACAACTCCGAAAGCCCAACGAAGGGTAGGCTTGAGCACATGTTTTCTATTTTTCTTTTTCATAATCCCTATATGACCCTTACGAAGCCGTGAACATCTAATTGTTATAGCGCCGCCCCAAACCTAACCCATAAGGCCTGGCATTTTCGGGATCCAAAGCCCTATCCCTAAACCCCAAACCCCAAACCCTAAACCCCAAACCCTAAACCCTAAACCCTAAACCCCAAACCCTAAACCCTAAACCCCAAACCCCAAACCCTAAACCCTAAACCCCAAACCCCTAAACCTTAAAACCTAAACCCCAAACCCTAAACCCTAAACCCCAAACCCCTAAACCCTAAACCCCAAACCCTAAACCCTAAACCCTAAATTCCACCAGGTTTGCCATCTGCGGGCACACCACGGTCACCCGCCTGCGGATCAAGCTCTTCAGGCCACCCAGAGGGGTCCCTCTGTAGTACGTTTATGGAATGAGAGGGTTTAGGGTCTATAGGGTTTAGGGTTTAGGGTTCAGGGTTTAGGGTTTAGGGTTTGGGGTTTAGGGTTTGGGGGTAGGTACCCAAAAGTCTTAGTTAGTATGGTTCTTGGGTACCTAGTTTCCATAATCGTTCTGCAAATGGAGTGTTGAGGACCCGGGGTGCCAAAGCAAGGGCTTTGAGGTGCAGGGTTCGGGTTTAGGGCTTGGGGGGGGGGTTCACGAATTGTACTTCCTCCTTTTCCTAAAGCTCTACACCCATGCCAAACCCCAGACTACCTACCCAAACCCCAAACCCCCCAAACCCCAAACCCCGAACCGTATCACGAGCTGACACGCCCTGAGGAATCTGACCGAGCAAGAGATTGCCTTCTACGACTCCCACGCCGAGTTCCCAGGACTTATTCGGGTTGGGGCTAGGGGTTTAGGGGTTTAGGGGTTAGGGGTTATTGTTTAGGGTTTAGAGTTTAGGGTTTAGGGTTCAGGGTTTAGGGGTTGTAGATATGGGCTTATGGTTCAATCGCGGTTTAGGCTTTCGGGTTAGCTTTCTTTGTGTTAGGGCTTGCACGGTGTGTTCAATCACCGACAAACCAAGCAGTGCTGATACATGCGGCCACGGCTGTAGCTTAATTAGTCGAGCCCAGGGCTCAAAAAATTTAGGTCGTAGGCTATCCATAGCGGTGCTGTCACCTACGCCCTAGACTCTCAGACCTAAATTTCAAGCCCCAAGCCCTAAACACCCCAAACCCCAAACCGCAATGAAAACCCTAAACCCCAAACCACAAACCCTAAGCCCCAAACCCTAAACCCCAAACCCTAAACCCCAAACCCTAATCCCTAAACCCCAAACCCTGAACCCTAAACTCCAAACCCTAAACCCCAAACCCTAAACCCCAAACCCTAAACTCCTAACCCTAAGCCGTAAACCCAAAACCCTAAACCCCAAACCCTAACGGAAAGGTGAGCGGCGAGCTCTCCAGTCGTCTCATCAACGACTCCCAGGCGAGCTAAGAGGTGAACCTTTCAGCGTTTAGGAGGTTTAGAACGTTTAGAACGTTCAGGAGGTTTAGGAGGTTTAGAAGGATTAGGAGGTTTAGGAGGTTTAGAAGGTCGAAGGTTTAGGAGGTTAGGAGGTTTTGGAGGTCCAGGAGGTCTAGGAGGTTTGGGGGTTAGGATTGAGGGTTTAGGGCTTCGGAGTTAGGGTTCAGGGTTCGGGGGTTTAGGGTTGGGGTTTCAGGGTTTAGGGCTTAGCGTTCAGGGCTTAGCATTCAAGATCATCTATCCATTTCCCCACAATGGCGAGGCACATGTGTTTTAGAGTTTGGGTTTAGGTCTATTACCGACTGTGGCAGATTGTAGCACTGCTTATGTATGATGTTTACAGTGTACGTTTGTGATTAAGGACACTGAAGACTCGTATCCGAAACAGCTACTTCTTTCAGAACTTGGAGCAATACTTGGAGATTGCTGTGTCTTGATTTCCTTAGCTGGCTCAGACAGTGTACTCCAGATTACACCAAAAAGCCCATAAAGCTTAGAAACCCCATAAAAAACCCGTAAGCCCCGTAAGCCCTATCAACCCCCATAAACTCTGTAAACCCTTTAAGCCCCAGAAAGCCCATAAAACCGATAAGCCCTAAACCCTATAAAGCCCTATATACCCTAAACCCCATACCCTAAACCCTAAACCCTATAAAGCCCTTTCTATGCCCTAAACCCTAAACCCTAAACCCTAAACCCTAAACCCTAAACCCTAAACCCTAAACCCTAAACCCTGAACCCCAACCTGAGTCGATCGGGACTGCAGAGGCGCTCTCCTCGCTCACGCAGTTCACGACGCAGACGGTGTTGGGTGCAGCCTGGACCTCGGGCCCGCCTTAGGGTTTAGGGTTTAGGGTTTAGGGTTTAGGGTTTAGGGTTTAGGGTTTAGGGTTTAGGGTTTAGGGTTTAGGGTTTAGGGTTTAAAGTTTAGGTTTTAGGGTTTAGGGTTTAAAGTTTAGGGTTTAGGGTTTAGGGTTTAGGGTTTAGGGTTTAGGATGTAGGGTTTAGGGCACAGGGCTTTTGGAGGGTAGAGTGTTGTTTTTTTTTTGTCGGTACGCCATCAAAGCCTTCAACTCTGAAGTCAGGAACCCCGGAACCCTAAACCCCAAACCCTAAACCCTAAACCCTAAACCCTAAACCCTAAACCCTAAACCCTAAACCCTAAACCCTAAACCCTAAGGCGGGCGTTCAGAGACTAAAGGAGGGACTGAGGGACTCTTATAAGGGACCTTAGGGACTTGGGGATTATATGGGGGTTGTTTAGGGGCTACTTAGGTTACATATAGGAACCACAGAAGGTATATATAGGGGTTATATAGGGGAATATGATTAAGGGTCCCTAAACCCTAAACCCTAAACCCTTCTAGGGGGTCCCTCCTTTTACCCCTTCACAGACCCCATCAACCTCGGGTCACAAGGGAGCCATCATAGGGCCGGCTTCTTGAGGTCTGAGGCTTGAGGCTTATAAGGCTTAACGTTTCAGGTTAGAGGGTTTAGGGTTTACGGTTTAGGGTTCAGAGACCGATTGAATTTTGGGGGGGGCGTTTCTACAGGTTGTGTAGGAGGGTAGAACGAGCTCAGGGTTAACTGCTTTATGTCTTAGAGAGTTTGGGGACATTTGGGGAAACAAGATAGCCTGCCGAACGTCCGACTGCTGCTTAGCGGCTTCGCCTGTCCCCCTTGCCGGTCTCAACAGGTCGTCAAGTTCGCCGGCTCCCTGATCGCCATGTACGCAACACATCCCCAGCTGGCGCTGATTGCCAGGTCCTTACACTGCAAGCCTTGTGCAGGTTCTGGCTGCACTGACTGTCAGACCACTTTTGCACGTCGCAGCACGAGGCCACGATCATCACCCCAATTAACATGATCCTTGTCAGGCCTGGCCAGTAGGGCTCAGTTGGGGCTTTCGTCTCGAGCTTTCGGTGTGCGGCAGCTCACCTGGCCGCTAGGCGCACTGGCAAGACCGTTGGTCACTACGGCGTTGTGCAGAATCATGCCATGGCGAAGGCGCTCCTAGCCGGAGTCCGCAGCTTTCTTTTTCAAGCCAAGAGCCCAAGAGCATATGGGTAGTTTCCTCAGTTAGGATCCTTTTTTCGGTGCCCGGTATTTGGCGGCACCCGTTAGAAAGTCATCCCAAAAAGGGACCCCAATTTAGAGAGCTACCCATGTATTAAACATTGGCCGTGAAGTTCCTCATCATTCCCTGCAACGCAGAGATTCGTCGGCAGGCCAACGCGGTTGCAGTCGAGGTCTTGGGCAGCATTCGTACAGCCGAAGCCCAAGAGGTGTGGCAAACCCCTCGCTTGCCGTCAGTCTAGGCCATTTCAGAAGCTTACATTGACAAAGTACCAGTTAAACCCGAAGCCCCTCGTCATAAAGGAGGTTGCCTTTAAGCCATGACTTGCCTGTTAGTTGTGCCCACATAGGGGGGGGACCTTCATGAAGAGAAAACCGATCAAAGAAAAGGAAAATGACAGGGAGGGAGGGGCTCTGGGATGCATCTTCTCAGGTGCAGTCCAACGTTGGCGAAGAGCAGGAGGCATGGGCTTTGGGATTTAAGCCTCGGCGTTTTCGTCCTAGACTTCGAGGATTTTGGATGTTCAGGGTGCGGAGTTCATGGGCCCTTGACCATCTTTGTGTCTGACTGCCAGAGGCCGTGTTCTTCACTCAGCGCCTGAATCGGTACCTGAGAATCATCAAGGCCGCGTGGAGGGCCTAGAAGGCAAGATCTCTTCCCGAATACCCTAGGCCCTAAGCCCAGAGTAGGCCCGTACCCTCTTTTTGGGGTTTAGGAGCCCTCTCCAAGGTCCTTGAAACCAAAAAGGGCACCCTTGTCATTCCTAGGTTACTCTAAGGTCCAGATCCTGAGGTTCCCGGTCAAGCTAGGCTTGACGTCTCTTGGTAGCGCCAGCACGCGCGGCAGACAGTCAGTTGGACAAGTCAGAGTCAGTTGGATAAGTCAGATGAATTTAACCATAACATCCACCATCACAAGCATCATAATGACCTGTACGAACCTTAATACCTAAACCCTACACCCTAAACCTTAAACCCTAAACCCTACACCCGTAGTAATATGCCATGTTTGCCTGGCCGTTTGACTGCTGGCCGCACAACTGTATTTCCGCAGATGGTCAGACAGTCAGACAGACCATCGGACTGTCTGACTCTTGGGCGTAGTTTAAGGATTTTTGGGCTTATGGTTTCGGTTAGGGTTTAGGGTTTCGGGGATTTCGGGTTTAGGCTTTTTTCGGGTTTAGTTTTTTTTTTCGGGTTTAGGGTTACTGATTCATGAGTCCGCGATGGTTTGATCCCTTAGTGCCGCTTCCCTGGGGCAAATGTCAAGACTCTGACCTCTCTTCTATGCGCAGGCAACAGTGTACCTGGAAACCGTTCTGCGCTTTACGCAGTCTCTCCCTCGGCGGGGAACTGCTACCGAAAGTCTTCAGGGTATTTCCCTAAAGGTCCATGTACCTGAATACGATATACTTGGGCCTTAAAGTACCTCCTATGTAGGAATGTAATAATTAGGTACATGGACCCTTAGGGTTTGCTGTTTCCTGTCCACCAGCTGCTCAGGTATGGGCTTTCCAAGGTGCGGAATATCGTCGTCCTGGCGGTGGCAATGCACCAGGCCAGCATACCTGCTTTGTACATGCGCGTGATGTGCCACGTAACCCTGTGCCTGCGTAGTGCAAAATGAAACGGTAGGTCATCACTGGTTCGCTGACGATAGGCGCGCCTCTTGAGTCCTTGTTGAGTGTCTCGTTTGTTGCAAGCCTGTCAGAAAAAATGAGTGCCTTGTTCCCGTACAGGCAGCTATACCGCCTTCTCCCAGTACGTGTCTTTGTACGAGGATCTCCTTCGTTGTGAGTGTGGCTTTGGAGAGCATGCTGGTGACCGGTGTCGTTCGCTGGCAGGATGGCTTCAAAAATCTGGCCGATATCTGGATCAACTTCAAGCAGACAATCACCTCAACAGGCATTCAGAGCATCAGAGTGACGCTACGTGCCTTTGTGCACGACATGACCATGTGCCAGGTAAGTTCATTCAGTTGCTACTCCGAAGACCTGAGATATCTTTTGCCCCGTGCTTACTGTGCATGTTGGCTGCCTTTAAACCCTTGGGAACCTAAATCCTAGGCCCTATAAACCCTGATGCTTCATGCAGATTCTTCAGATGTCCCAGGAAGGGGGAATCCAGCCTGCCTACTGTCGCGGCAGTCTGTCGTTGGAGGTGGGAAAGCCCTCTTAGACAGACTTTGCGGTTTGGTTTTCGGGTGTAGGGGTCAGGATGTAGAGGATTCAGAGGGGAAACACACCCCTCCCCCCGACCTAGTGGGTTTAGATGCAGCGATTAGTCAAGGTTACGAAGAAATATAGGGGTCGGAATAATTATAGTATTCCCTTATTGTTCCTTTATAAGTATACCATAATTGCCCCCAAAACCCTCTTCTACTTATTAAGGCCCCTATGTAGGATTGTAGCGTGCAGGACAAAAATGGCTGACTCCTTGCAGGATGTGTCTTTTGCATACTCTGGTCGCCCCGACCATCATGTGGCGTCCTCAGGGTGGCGGGTGCCTTGCGGTGTTGTGTGGGGTTTAGGGTTTAGGGTTTCGGGATTACATAGGGTGTAGGGTTTAGGGTTTAGGGTTCACGGTTTAGGTCTTTTAGGGTTTAGGGTTTAGGGGAGCATGGCGGCTCTTCGAGCGTTTCGTCCCCACGAGGTCTTGACAAAGGTTCGACTTGAAGCACATCCGGGGGTGCCCAAGCTGCACTCTCTTGCAATCTGGGGTTAAGCCCTAAACCCTAAACCCTAAAGGCCCTAAACCCTAAACCCTAAACCCTAAACCCTAAACCCTAAACCCTAAACCCTAAACCCTGCACTTCTGAGGACATCATTGCCTTAGTTGGAGAGAGCGGCGCCGGCAAGTGGGACTCTTGGGCATCTCAGGGTCAGCTCTTGAGATGTTTGCCTCGGGAAACCCGTGAAGGACAACGCTTGGTCGCCTTCTTCTGCGATACTATGCTCAGCACTCATGTGGGGGTGTTTAGGGCTTAGTGTTTAGGGTTGAGGCACTAATTTCGACCCCCCATGAGTAGTAGGATTCCCTGTTATCAATACGGCCCTCCCACTGATTTACCGCGGAAGTGGAAGCCTCCCCATGCAAATTTGGCAGCTTTCAATGCGCCTCTTTGCAGAGCTCGAGGATCCGACCGCGGGATCAATCGCCCTCGACGGCCTGGACTACAGGAGCTGAGTGTTTCATCCGAAGCTTCTATTGGGCCTAGCTTGCTTGATGTTGGGATGTTTCCCCTTATACTAATTAACCCTAAACCCTAAAGCCTAAACAGCTCCTTAATAGGCATTTTCATAGGGGGTACTATATAGTCCCTATTCAGGAGCTGTTAGTATAAGAGGGGGAAACATCCCAAGCTTCCCTGAGGGCCCATGCACCCATGTAGTATACAGTTGGGCCTTAAAGGGGTTCCCATAGAGTAGCTTTAGGGGCCAAAGTATATCCTCAACCCCCAACCCTAAACCCTAAACCCCATATGGGTACATGGACCCCTATGCTTGATGGATTCTGATGGAAATGGTCGACCTCTCGCCGCAGAGGAGCTACAACATTCGTTGGCTGCGCTCGCAGATTGGCTTCGTGGAGCAAGAGCCTGTTCTTTTTGACAGGCAGGATGTAGGGTGTAGTGTTTAGGGTTTAGGTTTTAGGCAAACAGAGGGCTGAATGTCCGTGAAAAAATCTTCTGCCTAAACCAGAAACTTTGACATTTGAAGACCTTTGCAGCAATTCTCGGCCCTCTAGAGAAAGCCATGAGGCACAAAGTCATGGCGCCCGCAATCAATGTCTGCATGTGGACAGTTCTCTGCAGTATGGCCCCTTGTTGGATACCCTACAACATGTGGCTCTGTATTCTAAACAGAATCCGAAAGTGACCCTAATCCCTAAACCCTAAACCCTCGACCCTAAACTCTAAACCCTAGACCCCCCCCATGTGGCCAGGTCCTTGAATGACAACATTGCCTACGGAAGTGCCAAAGGTGCACGTAAAGCAGACATCGAGGCTGGGGTTTAGGGTTTAGGGTTTAGGGTTTAGGGTTTAGGGTTTAGGGTTTAGGGTTTAGAGGGTTTAGGGTTTAGGGTTTAGGGTTCAGGGTTTACTGTTGGCTCCAAGCAGGGGATGAACTGGTGTTGTAAGGGTCTGGGGAGTTTAGGTGCACAAAACCAGAAACCTCAAGCATGCCCAAACTTTGCTGTTGTAGCAGGAGATGGTTCAGGGTTTAGGGTTTAGGGTTTAGGGTTTATCAGGGTTTAGGGTTTAGGGTTTAGGGATTAGGGTTTAGGAGCCTCTCAACTCCTCTCGCTGCGGCGGCAGCCATTCGTGCTAAGACAGCTTTTTCAGCACCCTCTCCTCCCCCCAAACCCCAAACCCTAAACTTAACCCCGAACCCAAAATGGGCAGTCCTTTGCTGGTTGTTTCTGTTATTTTGGTTGTTCCCCTTTTGGGATTGCTACAAACAGGGCGGGCCCTAATATTAAGGGTACCCAGAAAGGGACCATAACCCGAAACCCTCAACCCAAATCATAGCAAGTACACTGCCATCTGCTACCGACCACATCCAGGATTCCTGCTTTCCCAGCGAGGCTGATCTAATCTTATCCGCCCCTTTTTGGGGGGTCTATAACCTGACTACTATTATCATTATTATCATTGTTATTTCTTTCTGTTATTATAATTCTCAATGTTTTTGTTATTCTTACTCTCTCGATATATGTATATATATATATACATATATACATATACATATATGTATATATGTATAGTCTGGGTTTACATGGTGTTTCGTTTAGGGTTAATGTGGATGGCAATCCCTCAAGCCGGCTCTTGACTACTCCTAAACCCTAAGCCCTAAACCCTAAACCCTAAACCCTAAACCCTAAACCCTAAACCCTAAACCCTAAACCCTAAACCCTAAACCCTAAACCCTAAACCCTAAACCCTAAACCCTAAACCCTAAACCCTAAACCCTAAACCAACCACGTGGGGCAGGGTTCGGGATTTGCGACATGTGGGGAAGCCTCCGTAAACTGCGGGAAGTCATCTTGCCATGTACTCTCAACTTCTTAGTCGGCATTATGTAGATTCCCTGGGCTGGGCACCCTCGAAGCCCTGATGATGGGGATACAAGGGGCCTCATTCCTCAGTAAGTTTCAGGGGTAAATGACAATAGCGATTGATGAAAGCCTTTCCGTCCTGCCTGTCGTAGTGTCCCAGACACTGCCATAGTGCATGTTTCGCGAAATATGGCTCCTCCAGTAGCACACACCCCAAAATTCCACAATCCTCATTGCCGGAACCACATAATTCAAGATGCCCTAAAACCTTCACCCCAAAGCCCTAAAAACTTCACCCCAAAGCCCTAAACCCGGAACCCTGAACCCTAAACCCTAAACCCTAAACCCCAAACCCAACCCTAACTTTTCGGAAGCCCCGCAATCCGGCGCGGTATTGCCAGGGGGCGGCTCAGAGGGCCAACGCCCATACCTTCATTACAGCCCTGCAGAGCGGCTATGAGCCGAGACCTCGGCTTTCCAAAGGCTCTTCCTTGTTAGGGTTTAGGGTTTAGGGTTTAGGGTTTAGGGTTTAGGGTTTAGGGTTTAGGGTTTAGGGTACTAAGCCCTAAGCCGCGTTCGAAGGGACTTAAGGGAGGCTTTGGGTTTATAGGGCTGATAGGGTTGTAGGGTTCATAGGGTTTAGGGTTCCTCGATTCAGCTGTTTGGGCCCTCTAGCACCAAACACCATCCACCATCCCTGAACCCCCACCCCCAAGCTCAACCCTACAACGTGAATATTATAGTTGTGATATATATTATGTATATATATATATATATTTATTTATTTATTTATTTATTTGGTACCCCCCCCCCCCCCCCAGATTTATCCACGCCTTTTCTGCTTATTTTGCGTTTTTCTTGCTTTTTCTTGTTCGGGCACTGCGTATTTCTGTTCTTCGTTCGTGATTGGTTTTGTTTGTCCCAGCGTGTTGATTTATATTTGATTTCTTTCTTTATATCTGGTTGCTTATCTATATGGTTCTAATGCACCAGTAGAGACCGGTACAAACCGGTACAAATCGGTACAAGTTGTACCGGCCCCGGCCCCTGGAACCAAGAACCAAGAACCAAGATTGCGGGGAGGTCTTGCCCTGCAATCTTGGTTCTTGGTTCTTGGTTCCATGGGGCCGGTACAACTTGTACCGATTTGTACCGGTTTGTACCGGTCTCTATGTTGTCGAAACATACGGCCGGTACAAACCGGTACAAATCGGTACAAGTTGTACCGGCCCCATAGAACCAAGAACCAAGAACCAAGATTGCAGGGCAAGACCTCCCTGCAATCTTGGTTCTTGGTTCTTGGTTCCAGGGGTGGGGCCGGTACAACTTGTACCGTTATGTACCGGTTTGTACCGGCCCGTGTGTCTCGACAAGTTTAAGGGTTTCAAGGGCTTTAGAAAATGTTTAAATGGGCCTGGCCTTTTCCCAAATAGCTATTTTGTCTCAAAATATTTAAGGATTTAAGGATTTTTCGGATTTAAAAAATTCAAACGGGCCGGGCCTTTCCCAGAAAGTGGCCGTTTACATTCCTTAATATCCTTAAAATTTTGAGAACCAGAGGCCTTTTAAAATCTTAAGGAGTTTGAGGGTTTAATGAGTTGTAGGGTCCTTTGAAATTCTTTAAAATCCTTAAAACTTTGAAAGGGGAAACAGAACCATCAAATAGTACGTAAAGGTGAGTCGTACACAGGGCTATAAGGTTCTAATCCTATAGGTAATGCCTCGACCTTAAACCTTTGAACCCTCTAGGCCTATAGGGTTTGAACTCTACAGGGCTAACCCCTTGAGGGCTTTAGAGATAAACCTTGAAAAATCCTGAACGGTTAAACTTTATGGGGTTTAAAGGTTTAAAGACCTAAGGTCTGGGCATGTATACCTTAAGCGCCTATAGGGTTAAAACTTTTGAGGCTTTTGGAGCCCCATAGACTTTCAGGGTTCTGACCCTAAAGGGCTTAGGATTGAGATTTAAATGCCTAAACCGTAAGCCCTTATGGTTTAAACTCTATGGGCTTATAAACCTTGAAGACCCCTAAACCTTTGAACCTGATACCTGCTTATTCTTTGCATTTCCACCAAGCCCTAAAAACAGAGGCATAACCATATGGGATTTTGGGTTTAGGGATTTACGCCTGTAGCCATATAGGGTGTTTCATGCTCTAATCCTATAGGCAATGCCTAAACCTTAAGCCATAAACTGTTGAACCCTATAGGCCTAGAGGGTTCAAGCCCTATAGGGCTAACCAGGTGAGGGCTTTAGAGATAAACCTTGAAAAGCCCTTTAAACTTTATGGGGTTTAAAGGCTCAAAAACCTAAGGTCTGGGCATGTATACCTTCATCGCCTATGGGGTTAAAACTTTTGAGGCTTTTAGAGCCCTATAGGCTTTCAGGGTCTTGACCCTAAAGGGTTCAGGTTTAGATGCCTAAATCGTAAACCCTTCGGGGTTAAACTCTATGGGCTTAGGTTGAAATACCTAGATCTTAAATCTTCAAACCTATTAACCCTATAGGATTTAAAGGTTAAGGGTTTAGGTGTGATTGCTTAACCTTGAAACCCTATGGATCTAAAGGTTCAGGTTTCAGGTTTAATCCTAAACCCTATCGGCTTTAAGCCTTAAACCCTATAGGGCTTCGGGGCGTCTCTTTTTATAAGACTTAAACCTTAACAGATATGGTTTTAGAGAGATGGAGGTGAGAAGAGATGAGAGCTCCTGGCAACGCTTGGCTAGGGTGTGTCGTAAATCCTAATCCCCTATGCAGTACAGCTTCGCTGTGTTTTCTTTCAAAAAAATGGTTTTAGAGATAAGCCCTGAAAGAAAAAGCATTTACAAAAACCAGCGAGCGCAGCGCAGCGGAAGGGAGGGGAGGAGGTCGCTCTGCCCAGTGTTTGGACAGATGGAGAGGACTCAACATCTCAAGGATTGCATACATTTACGTTATGTAGAGGATTGTTTTTTTTTTTTTTGTTGTGTGTTTTTGTTTTGGGGGGGGGGGAGTTCAGGGGTCACCGCGGCCCGTGAACGATTTAATTGGCTCGCAACCACAAAAAGCGTGGATAACCACAAAAAAGCGTGGATAACCCGGGGGGGGGTAGCATTTATTTATATTTATATTATACCTTATACAGTATGTATAGGAACAGTACATAGTATGTAGCATATATTGTATATTACAAATTTTCTGTGTGTATGTATATATATATACAGATGAGATCGTCAAGCGGGTGCTAGAGGCGGTGGAACTCCCAAAATACCTCACTTAGAACAACCCCATCGGCGGTTCGAACGTTGCCATAGGACCCACCCTGGCGAGCGCGCTGCTCGGATATCTGGTGGGCAGAAGCAGCGCGTCGCCAGCTTCCCAGAGCTTCTTTGGCGCGACAAAGACAAGAGTCAAGGGACTAAAGCGGGGACATTAGAAAGGGACCTTAGGGGTTATTTGGGGGTTATTTAGGGGCTACTTTGGTATATTTTGGGACTAGATAAGGTACATATAAGGTGTATATATATATACTTATACATGTATATATCTATACATGTATATATATATATATATATGTATATATATATATGTATATATATATATATATATATATATATATATATTTGGGGTATAGCAAGGGTTGACGGTTTAGGGTCACGGGTTGGAGCCAGAGGCCATCGCGCGCGCAATCATCCGGAGTCCCAAGATGCTCGTCTTGGACGAGGCAGACGATCTGGGAGTGGCTTTAGGGTTCAGTTTAGGGTTTAGGGTTTAGGGTGTGTGCGTGCTCCTCGTCTCGCCTGCCTGTGTTGCAGGCGACAAGTGCCTTGGACAGCGAAAATGAGCACATTGTACAGCAAGCGCTCGACGAGCTCATGCAAGGCATCGATGCTCCTTCCAGTCCCTGCAGTGCGTAGTGCAACCAGCCTCCACCGGTAAAGGCAAGACAACATTCATCATTGCGCTTGAGACCCAGACCGGTCTGCTCGTGTTTGCGCAGCATCTCAGAAACTTGTGGCAGCGCCTCAGCATTGTGCTTTGGGCGACAAGGCATCGTTTGTCAACTGTCGTTCGGTCGACTAAGATTCTAGCCCGAGGCTTAGTTGATTCATGCAGAGCATCGATGGGCTTGCCGCCACGCCAATGAGAGAAACCCTGAGCGTTTGCCAAGGTCTTGGACAAAGGCCGCGTCATAGAGCAGGGCACGCATGACGAGCTGGTTTCAGATGAGTCATCCAGGCTTTGCTCTTGGCTTTTGTGCTTGTGCAGCTGCAGCATCCATGCGGAGTTCTCTAGATTATGGTCCCTTCTTGGGTACCCTAAATAAGAGAGATGGGCCGCCTGATTCAATAAGGACCCCAAAAGAGACCATGTTTTAGAGAAGTGACCATGTCGAAAGGCTTCAGCGCGGAGTCTCAGTTGAGAAGGCTGAAGGATAGCATCTCTGCCCAGGTATGCCAGTTTCATGAGCCATCAGATCGTGAGCCCGCTACTTTCGTGACACCGGCTTTGCTGATGACGCGACAAAAACCGTCTCTCCACGTTCGTGTGTGTGTGTGTGTGTCTGTATGTGTGTGTGTGTGTGTGTGTGTGTGTGTGTGTGTGTGTGTGTGTGTGTGTGTGTGTGTGTGTGTGTGTGTGTGTGTGTGTGTGTGTGTGTGTGTGTGTGTGTGTGTGTGTGTGTGTGTGTGTGTGTGTGTGTGTGTGTGTGTGTGTGTGTGTGTGTGTGTGTGTGTGTGTGTGTGTGTGTGTGTGTGTGTGTGTGTGTGTGTGTGTGTGTGTGTGTGTGTGTGTGTGTGTGTGTGTGTGTGTGTGTGTGTGTGTGTGTGTGTTTGTGTGTGTTTGTGTGTGTTTGTGTGTGTTTGTGTGTGTTTGTGTGTGTGTGTGTGCGGGTGTGTGTGTGTGTGTGTGTGTGTGTGTTTGTGTGTGTTTGTGCGTTTGTGCGTTTGTGCGTTTGTGCGTTTGTGTGTTTGTGTGTTTGTGTGTTTGTGTGTTTGTGTGTTTGTGTGTTTGTGTGTTTGTGTGTTTGTGTGTTCGTGTGTTCGTGTGTTCGTGTGTTCGTGTGTTCGTGTGTGCGTGTGTGTGTGTGTGTGTGTGTGTGTGTGTGTGTGTGTGTGTGTGTGTGTGTGTGTGTGTGTGTGTGTGTGTGTGTGTGTGTGTGTGTTTGTGTTTGTGTTTATGTTTGTGATTCTGTTTGTGTGGGGGTGTGTCTGTCTGGGCGTGTGTGCCGCGACGAGTCAGCCATCTGAGATGCGTTCAAGCCAAATCGAGATTGAGAGCATCTGCTCCAGAACCTCGCATGTAAGCAACGACCAGGCATATGCAGACAGTCATGACGACTTGTAGGCTGAATGTTCTCTTGGATTGATGTGGTCAAGCGCGCATTGACAGCACAAAGTGCGGGCAGTTTACCGGCACCCGCGGCAATTTACCAGCTCATGTCGCAAGATGCCGACATAGTCGAGGTGGGCACATCCATCGCTTTCGCCCGAGTGCAGAATCATACATCTTGCAAACGACAACCCGAAACCCTCCTAGCTAGGCCCGCCTTAAGTGGCCCTAAACCCTAAACCCTAAACCATAAACCCTAAACCCTAAATTGCGGAGGCCAAGCTGCAGAAGGTCGACCTCCTTCCCAAGGATCGAAAGCGAGTTCAGGACCGCGAAGGATTTGAAGTTTAAGGGTTTAGAGTTTTGGTGTTCAGCGTTTTAGGGTTTTTAGGATTTAAGGTTTTGGGGTTTTAGGGTTTTAGGGTTTTAGGGTTTCAGGGCTGTGGGTTTTAGAGGGTTTTAGGGTTTTAGGGTTTTAGGGTTTTAAGGTTTTAGGGTCTAGGGTTTAGGGTTTAGGGTTTTAGGGCTTTAGGGTTTTAGGGCTTAGGGTTTAGGGTTTGGGGTTTTAGGGTTTTAGGGTTTTAGGGTTTTAAGGTTTCAGGGTTTCAGGGCTTCAGGGTTGTAGAGGGTTTTTAGGGTTTAGGGTTTTAAGGTTTTAGGGTCTCAGGGCTTTAGGGTTTTGGAGGGTTTAGGGTTTTAGGGTTTAGGGTTTTAGGGTTCAGGGCTTTAGGGTTTTGGAGGGTTGGAGGGTTTCAGGGTTTTAGGGTGTTAGGGTTTTAGGGTTTTAGGGTTTTAGGGTTTAAGGTTTAGGGTTGTTGCAGCAGAGGTCCTCCCTTGCCATAGGCTGGGAATATGCTGAGACCCATGACTGTGCCGAGGATGCGGTCAACATGTACTACAACCTACACGTCAAGCACAACAAGGAGCCTTTTTTTTTTTTTTTTTTGGGGGGGGGGGGGGGGTGCTCCTACGGGGAGAAAACCAGGAAGGCCCACACAAAGCCTTGATGAACGAATCGACCTTGATCCTTTAAGAGTTTAAGGTAAGGCTTACAAGATCCCTGTTGGGATGCTCCCCTCCTGTTATTAAGAGTCCTTGATAGGAATTATAAAGGGGCGGGGAAGGTTATGAAGGACTGTTAGTATACTGGGGGAACATCCCAAATTTTTGTATTGGCTTAACCTCTTCGGAATGGAGGGGCTTTTGGCCAACTCTGGATCCATGTCGGAAGTCGAATGCGTGTACGTGGAGGTTCATGGTACTTATGAACCGATTGTAACTGTACTTCGAACCCTCGTATAAGGCCCTTAAGTGCCCTAACATGGCGATAATTGGGCTAAAAGTACAGCTAAAATTTCCCAAACCCTAAACCCCTTGTCGTTATAAATACAGTTATTATTGGGTTAGTAAGTTCCATGAACCTCCAAGTAGCAGAACCAAGGACGAATCGCTGGGAGAGCTTGCCAGATGGACCCTGTTTGTCAGCGCCCAATGGCGACGTGCAGACTCCAAGCTCGTAATATAGGGGTCGGAATACTGTAATTAATAGTGATGTTCCCTTATGGTCCCTTTAGAAACGTACTAAACTACTAGTGATGTTCCCTTATGGTCCCTTTTGAAAACGTACGATAAGAACTTCCCAAAACCCGATTCTAATCATTCAGGCTCCTGCATTTCGTGGGGCTCGGGGTGATGAAAGCTCTGGGCACTTGGTCGGCACTGCGTAGACTGAACCGACAAAGGCAAAGGCGGATTCTGATCAGTCCCACATGTTGCGTCCGGGTCTGCTGGATGTGCAACATTACACCCGAAACCCTATTGAAACCCTAAACCCTAAGCCCTAAGCCCTAAACCCTAAACCCTCGCAGTTGACCATGCGGCTGGGAAATGAGGCAAAGCTCCTGAAGGCCTCGCTGGACACGCATCTGGGGCCCCATTGGCAAGCCGCCCTCCCCCCGTGCGCCGGTTCATCTCACAGCTGACTGACATGCAAGGTTGTGAACCGTGAGGTTTAGGGTTTAGGGTTTAGTGTTTAGGGTTTAGGGTTTAGGGTTTAGGGTTTAGGATTGCTGTTTGCATAGTATCGTTATGATGGTTACTCTCATTGTTACATATGATTGCAGCTGTGACTTTTGCTTTCAAGCTTAGAAGCCTTTTTTATCGGACATGACATGTGAGTGACTCATGGTACACTTTGCGCAGACATTTCGGCTTGGCAGCGCGAGATGTCGCAGGCGCGACAGCGCAAGCTAGGCAGGGTTCTCGAAGCAGGCCTGGTCGTGACCGGGGCCACTCGACTTTGCCAACATGCCTTCAAACCCTAAGGGTCCATGTACCCATATGGTATATGCTTGGGCCCTAAAGCTATTATATGGGCCCTGAAGGCCCAACTATATACTACAGGGGTACATGGACCCTTAGGCTTCAAAGCAGCACCTGAAGTTGGTTTGCCTCCGTACTCCTCGCATTCCCCTGGGTCGGTCTGAGGCTGTGAGCCTGTTGCTGTCAAGATGCGGCCCTTCTGACGGAGTGCTTGCCTCGTGCCGACCACGAACCTGCTGTGGATTCAAAGCCATCTCAAGTCCCCTTAAGGCCCTGAAGACCCGAATGCCTCAAAACCCCCAAACCCCCAAAACCCCCCCCTCAATAAACCCCAAAACCCTCAACCTCATATAGACTCACCCTGAACCCAAAGTGCCCTTATTCCGGGACCCTGTAACTGCTCTGAGATTCGTCAAAGCTGGAGGTCGCCTGGTCTCAATGGCACCAACCAGGGAGCGAAGGCGCCAGCAACGATGCAGATAATATAGGGGTCGGAATAATTGCCAATAGTATTCTGTTAGGGCCCTGTATATTTATACTACTACAACCCCCAAAACCCTATTCGAATCATTCAGGCCCCTATATTGCGGAGTTTGTTTCTCTCTCTGCCTTTTTTGGTGTTCTACTATGATATGGCTGTTTTGCATACATCCATCATGGATCTCTGCTTCTGTAGGCGTATAAATGTATGTATGTATGTATGTATGTATGTATGTATGTATGTATGTATGTATGTATGTATGTATGTATGTATATATGTATATCTATCTATCTATCTATATTATATACATATATATTTATCTCTCTCTCTCTCTCTCTATATATATATTTATTTATTTATTTATACATGTGCGTGTGTGTCTAGCGAGAGAGCGTTTGTTTCTTGTACGAAAAGTAATGTTTGATTCCACTTCCTATCGCGGTCGGAATACTTGCTTAATAGCATTCCCTTCATGGTCCCTATACAAGCGTACTATATTTACCCCCCCCCCCCCCCCCTCCGCCCGCCCCGAGAAACCTATTCTAATTATCAAGGCCCCTATAGTAGCCCCAAACCCTAAATCCTAAACCCTGTTCGAATAATCAAGGCCCCTATATGATAGTCGTTTTCGTAGACTCAACCCTAAAGCCTAAACCCTAAACCCTAAAGCCTAAACCCTAAACCCATTTGTCCCTCAGCAGGTGCTTCTCCAGGATCTCATGGTCGGGCTCTCCGGCGCCAGGTTGGCTGATCTTTGGGGTTTAGGGTTTAGGATTTAGGGTTTAGGATGTAGGGTTTAGAATATGGGGTTCATTGCGTCTGGAGTTTAGGGTTTAGGGTTTCGGGGTCTGGAGTTTAGGTTTAAGGCTTGCAGGATTCAGGTTTTATGGGGTTTAGGGTGTAAAAGGGGCTTGGTGATTTTGGGGGGGTTCAGGGTTTGGGCGTTTCGCATTTCAGGGTTTAGGGTTTAGGAGTTGGTAATTTGTGGTTGAGGGTTTCAGGTCTTGCAATCGAGGGTTAGGAGTTTGCATTTTCAGACGCAGCAATCGGCCCAATGAGCTGTCAACGCCGATCGGCAGATCATAAAATGTTGCTACGGTTTTTGCCACAAGCTGCAGTAGCTGCGCGCACGCAGTTTTCCCGCAAATATTGATTTGTTCCTTCTCTGTCTCGTCCGAAGGATTGCGCTTGTGGCGGTGAGCCTGAACAGTTAGTGGCCTGCAGTATTGTTTGATGTAATCCAAAACAAGTTGTTATCTTGCAAAGAATCCACATGCTGCTTCTAAACACTAAACATAAAGCTTGGACAACTTGACAGCTGATTTTCCGTGTTGTCAGCAAATTGCGCAAATTGTCAATGTGCCTGGAGTATGCAGCTGCGAATGGAAACCAAGCATGCCCGCTCCGCTCAAGGTCAGTATAGAGGTCCAGAGTATCTGATAACGCCTTGACGAACGTATCATATTAGGAACAGCCCGATCACTGCCACCACTTTATGCCGCTGATTCTCGGTAAAGTTTTTTTGGAGCTTGAGAACAGCAACCGACGGATGAGTGAGTTTTGGTGAGCGCACGCACAAATTTCAACTTCCGAATGTGGTGGCATGCAACTGCCCTAAACCCTAAACCCTAAAACCTAAACCCTAAAACCCTAAACCCTGATTGAATGCAAGATAGTCAAAGAGAGTTGCTGGAGTGCTTTTGCAACGGCAGTGAGACCAATCTTGGATTGGCCTCATGTGCACCTGTCTGCCCGCGAGATTCCTTGCGGCTTGGTAACGTGGGTTCGCAGACTGGGGTGTAAGCGGTATGGGTTTAACGTTTAGGGCTTAGGGGAAGGTTAATATTAGGATGTCTCCAACCCAAGTTGCAGAAATTTCAAGCCCGAAACCCCGCAATACGTGACGCCTGATACCTACTGCCCAAAGTGTTAGCCTCTACACCCTGATTCCAGAAGCACCAGTCCCTAAACCCTTATGCCCGAAGTCCTCAACCCTGATGCCCTAAATCCTACACCTTTATGCCCTAAACATCTCTTGGAGGTGTTGGGGTCCGCGCTGGCCCTCCTGGCAGAGGACTTTTTTCGGTTGGTGCCTGTACTTGGAGGTTCATGGTACTTACTAGCCAATTGTGACTGTACTTACACCCCACTGATAAGCCCCTTAAGTGCCCTAATAGGGTTATAATTGGGTTATATAAGTACAGCTATTGTTGGGTTAATAAGTACCCTAAACCTCCAAGTAGATAAACCTCCAAGTAGAGCTCATGTTTCGTGTGCTCTTGAGGCTGTGTCGGTCGATCTAGGCATATCCCAACAGCTCTAAACATCGGGGCCCTGTAGAGATAGCATATGAGCATCGGACAAAACCTTTGGAAGTGGTAGCCATGATTAGAGGAGTCATAATATGGAATTGACAAGTCTGCTCTAGCACGAAAACCGATAGGGGCCGACCCTAAACCGATACCCAGCTCCCATAGATAATTCCCACATAACCGATAGGAGGCCGACCCTATTCCACGCGACAGTCATACTAGAGGTGGACCACTACTCATATGTATACATATATATATATATATATATGTGTATACACATGTGCGTATACTATATTTATATGTGTATATATGTAGCATACGGGTTCCTCGTTTCCTGATGCCGAACAGGGCTCACATTTTCTTCTACTTAATCGCATCCGCTACGAAAGAACGCAAAGTTGTTTACCGGGGAGCTGTGGAGTCACGAGCCTATGGCTCCTCTTACAGGGCTACAAGAGGAGTACTACAGGGGTCGGAAGAATTACTAATAATTTTCCCTTGTGGTCCCTTTGGAATTATACTATAATAACCACCAAAACCCTATTCTAATTATTCAGGCCCCTATATTACCTCATTCCCTGCCAAGAAACGATGAGTTACCAGGACTGGCTTGTCGGTAGGGCTCCTGCTGAAGAAGGCAGTCCGTGGGTTGAGGGTTTAAACCCTTGCCAGCCCAGAGGTACCCTTTTCCCTCTTGTGTTTCAAGGTTCCCTTGGAATATAAGATGGCTTCTGGGCTATCAAGAACCCCAAGCCCTAAACCCTAGGTTGGGCATCTATTGAAAGGCTGGAGGTCGGGGAGTGCGAGGTCCCTTCCCCACAACAACAGGCTCCCCCCCCCCCCCCCCCCCCAATGTCCCCTTGCCCTCTAGGGTTTAGGGTTAACCCCCCCCCCCCCCCCAAAAAAAAAAAACAAAGTAAAATGATGGATGACAACTATACCTACAACATCCCCATTATGACTTTTACTATCATTATTATGTAATTAGCATTCTTACATCTAGAACCATTATGTTTTGTGTATATCTATCTATCTATGTATCTATCTATCTATATGTTTATATGCATATATATATATGTACACATATATATATATATGGTATAGTTTTTTTGGGGGGGACGGAGGGGACCGCCTTTTTCTCATCGCAAAGCCTTACGCGAAAAGGCGGTGTGCCCATTGACATGGACACGTACAAGGCCAAGATTGCCAGGCCATGTCCTGCGGGGTTGCTAGTTCTTGTACTGGGCGATTCATGCTCACTGCTGGCAAGGCACTCTGCGTTCCGATGCTCCAGCATTGCTTCCGTGCTCAAGAATAGACTGGGTAGCATGATAGGCCCAATAGCTGCACACCCGAACTTGGAGCTGGAAACTTGGATCATGCTGCAAACGGCCGGGCAGCCGTTGGGGTTGCTGTGGTTGCGAGAAGTCCGATCTCGACACAAAATTTGCAGTGGCGCCGACTGCAGGTGCCATAGTCTGCAGACGAAGCAATGCACTCACAGTCTTCAGCGGTGTCAACGGATAGCAGGGCCTGGAACTTGGAGCCGTTGCCTGATGTGTTCTTGAAATTTCCTATCTCCACAAGGATGTGTGAGGTATCCGGCTCTGGTCAGAAGCAGCAAGACACACGAGAGTTTGACGCTGCCGTTGAAGACTTCGACACAGTCAAGACAGCTTTGCTTGCCAGCGACGCAAACAGCCTTAAACTTCTTTGCCGCACTTGCGCAGGTCCGAGTAGCAAGAGGCAGGCTGTTCGAGGCAGTCCTTCGCAAAACTGTAGCTGCAAGCCCAATTGATCAAGATGCCTTACTCAAGGCATCTA